TAATAGATTTTTTTTGTCGACATCTTTCGTGTAATATAGAGCAATTTCTTTTTTTTATTTTGCCTAACATGTATTTTTTTTAATTAACGACAGCCTCACTGGTCTAGTGGTATAGCAAACAGATTTATTTCCGACGGTCGCGGGTTCGATTCCTCGCACGGTACAAACATTTGTATTCATGAGTTGTTTGTATTGGTCTATCGTATTGTATTGAATATTAATATTTCTCGAATACAAACATTTGTATAACTATTTGTATTGGTGTATTGTCTTGTATTGAATGTTATGTGAGTATCTATATAATGAATAGAAATAGAAATAATCTTTATTCAAATAAACTTAATATATAAGCACTTTTGAATAGTCATATTTTTTTTATTCTACCACTCATTCGGAACGCTGATTCATCACTGGAAGGAAATAATATTAAATTTTCATGGCACAGTATTTGTAAAGTATTTTAATACCCCTAAGTGGTCCACATTAATATATATTCATTGTATATAGTTATATAGACAGACGGATATGTATATTATATATTATTACTAGCTACATCAGCAGACGTTGTTTTGCCATATAAATTAAAATCGCTATTAAAACATAGGGGTTGGTGATAGACAACTCTTGTCACTTAGGGTATGAAAAATAGATAGCCGATTCTCAGACCTACTGAATGTGCGTATAAAATTTCATAAAAATCAGTCAAGCCGTTTTAGAGGAGTATGGTAACTACATTGTACATTGTGACACGAGAATTTTATATATAAGATATTAAAAAAAATCAAAATTAAAAAATTATTTATATATATTCATGTAGCACATGAATAAATTTTAGCCACTTATGAACATCCATTTTTTTATATTATAATTTTTTCCCTACCGTCCAGTTCACTACACAGATTCCACTGAGAACAACTGGCAAGAAACTAAATTGAATTTCTTTTTTTTTAAAGTCAGTTTATTTACAATGTATATATATATAGGTATCTATGTCTAACATTAAATGAAAATCCAGTGCATGAACAACTATTGCCATGCACGCTCGTCATTCAAGTAATCGTGTAGTGGCTTTGCTCAATAAATATGATTTAACAGATGTTTTTAATTTATTTAAGGGTAATTCCAATATATCCTTTGGTATCTTATTGTAAATTTTTATACCCATTCCCAAAAAAGACCTATTGACTTTTTCTAAACGATACTTATCTTTGCTCAGTAAATATGATTTAACAAATGTTTTAAATTTATTTAAGAGTAATTCCAGTATATCCTTTGGTATCTTATTGTAAATTTTTATACCTATTCCCATAAAAGACCTATTGACTATTTCTTGTTATTAAAGTAATTGTAATAAGTAATAAAAAACATTTATATCTATTTCAATATAAAAACAGTATCGTATTCAATTCATTCACGTGAGATTTGCCGCCCCATGGAGCTCATATCCGGCTCTCGACGTTTCCGGTCACAACCGGACTCCGACCGGATAATTTGTATTGAACGATTTCCTAGCAATACAGTCTGACTTACCTACCTACAACTAGTTATATATTAAGGGTACTACTATGGTAACGCTAAAAATAAGGAACAAGATAAGAATTGACTAGCTGTTTCCGCGACATGGCCCGCGTGGAATTAAACTTAATTTTTTAAAAGTAGCCTAAGTTACTTCTTATTACAGCAACTACCTGCCCAAAAAAGTCCCGTCAAAATCCAGTCCAGTTTTCGCGTCCAGTCGCGACTTCGTCCGCGTGGAATTTTACTTTACTTTTCTAAAATAAAAGTAGCCTAAGTTACTCCTTATTACATCAGCCACCTGCCAAAAAAACCCCGTCAAAATCGGTCCAGCCATTTCAGAGATTAGCCGGAACAAACAGACAGACAGACAAAAATGGTGAAAAATGTTATTTTGGTGTATGTACTGTATTTATATTCATAAGCATGTAGTAAAAAACGGATAATTCAATGTTAGAAACAGACGCTACAATTTTATTTATGGTGTAATAAGGAGTAACTTAGGCTACTTTTATTTTAGAAAAATAAAGTTAAATTCCACGCGGACGTAGTCGCGGGTGAAGCTAGTAATATATATATATATGCACTTATGTTTTTTTATTGTTTAAACATTAAACAGCGTATTCATCCAGCTTTAAGCTATTAAGATTTGTCTTTGCTGGTTGGGGTTGAAACTATGGGACATTCGGCGTCAGGCCATTCCCAAAATGCCTGTTGAAAACATATCTCAAACCGTCTTGATGTTCCGAGTGGTCAGTATGTGTTACCGAACCAATAGATCTATTCAATATATAAATAATACGTAGGTCGTTATTGGATGATCACGGGTTCGATCCTCGCACGGCACAAACAGTTGTATTCATAAGTATGATTGTTTGTATCAGTCTGGATGTTCCCAAAAATTATGACAATAGCCCAAACAACCCTCGGAGGGTCTTCAAACATATCTCAAACCGTCTTCATGTTCCGAGTGGTCAAAGAACTGGGGTCTATTACAGTGAGCGTATCATTTTGGCCATACAGAGAGGAAATTCAGCCAACCTTTTTGGTACCCTACCCAATGATGGTGATTAAATTTCATTTTTTTATTATATTATGACGGTCACGGTGGTCTAGTGGTGTAGCCTTACTTCCGATGATCACGGGTTCGATCCTCGCACGGCACAAACAGTTGTATTCATAAGTATGATTGTTTGTATCAGTCTGGATGTTTTCTATGTCAAAATATTAGGAAAAAAAATTTATGTATTTGTATCAGTTCTATATATCTAGTTCATCTAGTGCCTGTAAATTGTTATACCTATTCCCATAAAAGACCTATTGACTTTTTCTAAACGATACTTGGGGACAGCAAGTTTGTTTTTAAATCTATAATCTCTCATATTTAGTTCCCAAACAGGTAGTTCCATAGTATTACTATAACTGTTAACTACCTTAAAAGTGCTCTGATATATTATGTTAGTATTAATATTATGAATATTGCAATAAATTTCATTTCATTTTAAGATCTTCTATAGAGATTCCATTTGATCTGGTAAGATGCTAATATCTAACGAACGACGAGTAATATCTATCTAATGAACTAATATCTAATCTAACGCGTATAGCAGCGTTGAGCATATTCAACTGAACACTGATACTCAGAATACGAGAAAGAGAGACAGGTTTTGCATTTTTGTATCCCAAAATGGTTCAGACATCGTGATTATAAAACTTAATTTATCTGCATCTTGATGTTTTTCAAATAGAAGACTAATTCAATATTAAAAAGCTTCAAAAATATATATAATATGATGACTAAAATATATTATTAAAAGGGGTCCCTTTAGGCAACGTTCCAAAGATACTGGCAGCGTTCCCTCTTTGAATAGCTAGACTAATTCTTTGTCCGAGGTAGCTGCCAGCTCTTCGGTCTTCTGTGATGTCGACTAACCTTTTCGTTATTTCTTTGAAAAGTCTTATAGCACTAGGACCCCACGGACCGAGGGTCTCGACACCGAATGGGACAAATTCATATTCGGAGCCTAGACCCCTGTATTTACATATTCAATATATAAATAATAGCACTAGTCGAATTTAAAGGTTTACATCTTAAGTTATTGGTTGCAGCATGGGGCGAGTCGCTGTTGTCGCTGCCAAAACGATGGCTCAGCACTCAGGGCTACAGTGGCGAGGAGGACGAGTTTCAGGTATGTGTTCCCAAAAATTAGATAAACTGTTCAAATTCATCGGCGTCATAAGTGACCCCGTTTGTGCAACATTTTTTCTTCGCCTGTTAGTAAGTATGTGTTACTTACTAACAGACGAAGAAGAAGAAGAAGAAGTAGCGAACTCTGATAAATTGCGAGCACAATAGATCTATGTAGGTCGCGTTACAGGTCCAAGCACCTGACAATAGCCCAAACAACCCTATAAAAAGAAAGCAACACAGGTTTTTCGAGAGAATAGGGATTGTTAGTAATGTGGACTAATAACCACATTTCTAGTTATTTACAATTAACCTCTGTGGTTCCTAACCTCCCTGGAAACCAAAGTGATAAATTCCTAGTGAATTTGTCGCAATGCACTAACTGGCCTGATTTTAGGCCCATCCTATCATCCTCCACCGGTGTTCGAGTAAACCGTCAGCGCAGGAGGGTACATCATTCTATAATCAACAGTTAAAAAAAAATCACCACTTGCCTAGATGTTTTAGTGAGCATGTTTAACTCAAGACTAACTAGAAATTATCTAAACGAGCAGGGGCTTATCTGTGTAACAGATCTGGTGTAGTTAAAGTAACTGACCATAGCATGGAACGTACAATCACATTTGTAACGATTAGAAAATGAATTTGTATCTTTGTTACGCTTATTACATTAATAGCTTGACCAGTGAACAATGATTGAATGGAGCATAACAATTGGACTGAAGAAGAGTGTAAAGCTACATTTTTTCATATCAAATCTAATAATATATTGGGATTGCAAAGAAGGCAACCTGATGGTAAGTGGTAACCGTCGCCTATATACATGAACAGTACTACGGACGTCACATCATCATGTGACGCCAGTAAAACTACTAATGCGTTGCCATTTTGGAAGATCTTAGTCTTCCGTCATGCCACTTATCCTGACACTTCATTGCCTTATATCTTGTAACGAAAACATAATTTACAAGCTAAGCTGCTTGGTATTAACTGTATTAAGTAGGCTGAAGGTCTCAGGGTACTTTTTACGAAGTCAATTTTGACCGCAATACACGATATGGATTTATTTCGCTTGGTATACCCGAATACTCTCCGATTTTTAAAGAGTCAGTCAGAAATACAAAAACTTTTTGGTGCCGCACAGCTTCGAACTTAGGCCTTTTGATTCCAAGCCCCAGGTACTCCATGTACCCCATAACTAAACCACAAAGCAATTAGAATCTAGTATAGAATAAAGAAACGTTCTTTCCAGAATGTCCAATTACCTAAACTCCCAGTACCCGACCTGCAGGCGACAATGGACTCGTATCTAGAATTCGCGGCGGTGATAGTTAATCAGCAGCAGTTGGAGCACACGAAGGGGCTGGTGCGAGGATTCATGGAGGAGTTGGGACCGAGGCTGCAAGAGTCGTTGCTGGAGCGGCAGGCCGAGATGGAAAACTGGGTGAGTTTTCCCAAAACTCGTAGTTACTCTGTGGTAATTGTTGTTCATGATAAGTCACTAAATTTGGTATTAGGGTGAGTTTTCCCTGGACTCGGTCTTTCTGAATCTGCTCTAATTAATGTTGATAACGTGTCACTATATTTGACAATAGTAATTACAACTCATACAGACCAGCGCGTAATATTGAGGCTGTGAAGGCGTAAGCTGTAAGGCTTTATAGCTCTACTTAAAAGACAATACACAATTAAAACTTTTAAAGGAAGGTTGCGTTCTTTACTGTTGGAACAGTATTTTTAAATCTTTTTGCAGCAAAAATTGTATAATTTCAAACACTATTTAAATTGTTACTGAATAATATAATTTAAAAAAGTTCGGGTAATGTATTTGCGAAATTTCTCAAATATATGTGATAGTTAAAGTAAGAAAACTATAGTCCTCAGGAATGGTAATGTATGAGAGGTACTGGCTTCATTAGAGAATGGGTAAAAACTAGTATTAACTCTACCACAGCAATTAATATTTCAACAACAGTCCGAAGTTTAATTATTATCCAATTTGGATCGTTGCCAACTTTTACGATTTGGTTCGTGACGTCAACTTCATTTTAACAATATATATAGAGTATAGGCACAGAGTTTTTATGCCAGTAGCAGATGCTGAAACTCAATATTAATTACTGGTGTTTTCTTTATACAACGCTGTCGCCAAACAAGCATGCAGATGGGAAATGGTTAACGTATCATATGGAAACTTAGTTTGTAGATTTGTTCTCTTTGTAGATTTGCTTAGACTGCGTGAATTTGAAAACAATTCAATGGTTCGTTTGATAAACATAATAGTTAACTAGACGTCTCAAATAATACTTTGATAATTCAGGCACTTTGTTTCCAGAGGATGGATAGATCATAATAACTTTTTATATTCAGTAACTCGTCTATAACTTCTCTTCTCTTCAATAACTCTACAATATTTACTGTAACATTTTATCTGTTTGGTGACAACATTGAGGAAAAATTACTACATAATATAGAAGTAAAAAAGTTTGAAACATATTATTGAAGATTTGGTACAAAGTTTATTTCTGTAATCAAGATTTAAGTGAGCAAAATGGAGCTCTTATCAGCATTAAAAGGGAAACATTTCAGTTCATAAACACGAACGCAGAACAACACCATTATACGAAAACCATTGTTCGAACCATGGTGACTCGGACGCCAAAACAAACATGCCTCTTGAAAGATATAAATTTATAACTACTTAAAATGAACAGTGGGCAGCTTTATTTAATATTAAATCTGTTATTTATCGCAGAATGTAAAGCTTTACTGCAGTTAATGAAAGATTTGGAAGTGAAAAAAAGTGTTAGTGAGAGTCCAGTGTTGATGAAAATCTTGGATACGGTAGACGAGGCGCCAACTGATGAACATTTATTCCATGTCACTTTAAAATTATTAAACAGTTTGTGTGTTTGTATGAGAGAAGCATTAAAACAAAAAGAGAAAACATTATTATTTAATGGCAATACAAATTCATTACAATGGGATGATTCACGCGATGCTGACCTCAAAGTGCTTGATTTGTACAAAAATATTTATAATAATACATGTTTCAATATACGGCAAGATTTAACTGGCAAAATTGACTTACATAATGGAAATGCTACGAAAGATGAAGTATTAATGAAAAGCTGCAGACAAAAATATGAAATGACAAATAAGGCTCCATTAAAAAACAATAGAGGAAACATTTTTGATCATAGCAGATTGTTAATACAAGAAGTTTTGTTCAAACTACTTATACAGAATCACCAGTATCATAACTTCACAATAAAACATCATTACTTGTTTAAAAATAATAAATTTAGAATAAAAAGTCGTCCAAATCACAATATTATATTTATTATAACTTTAATACCCACAGAAGTTCAAAATGGTAGTATAAAATATGATAAACTGCTTCAAATCAACGATAATCAAATTAATAAAATATTATATTCGAATTCACGAATCGAAATTGATATTTTTGATACAAAATATAATGTGGAGGATAAGGAAAGTGAAGAAATTCCTACACAGGACTTAGTGTCTGAATGTAATTTACAATCTATGTTCATATTCTTCTTAGAAAGTGATAGGAAAAATTTAACAAAAGTATCTAAATTATTGCTTAAAAATGGGACCATAAAAATATACATAGATATAATTATCAAGCAAAACCACACAGATTACATAAATGTATGTTGCAACAGTGATATAACCTCATCTTTATGTAAGAAAGATTATATGACAAAAAATATTTATGAAATTAACAGGTCTACTGAAATTAAGCATGAAAATTATAATGATACTATACTAAAAGTAAAAAAGTTGGTTATGTTGTACAGTAACAAAATTAAGGAAAATATGAACTTATCCATTACAAAAGTTAAAGACATGTTGAAAACAAATGTATCGAATGTTTTAAGATATATTGATATACATAATAAAGATACATTAAAAAGTAAAAAAATGGAAAGCGGGTTGCATTCTAAGAAAAAATTAAATAAATTGTTTTTAAATCGCAATCATTCCACTAAAATACATAGCGTAATGCCTACATATTCTCAAACATTAACAGAAAGCATCATAAAAGGTAATAATCAAATATTTGGAAATCATCCAGCAACAGGTACTGCTAATAATCCACATACAAGTAATATAATAAAGAATCTTGTGAATATTTATGGACATGGTACAAGATCTACTCAATATAAAAAAGACAATTCTAGTTGTACTATGAAATCAGTTGCTCCTACGTCAACTTTTGAGAGAATCGTACCAGACGTAGACAACTTAAAAGAACAAGAACTAACAGGAATACCAAAAGTTTCAATCACATCAAATTCAAATCACAATATAAAATTACAACAAAATGTTTCTGAAATAACTGAACTAGCAATACAGAAGCTTACTATTACTGCTAACTATTCCTTACGACCTGTTTATTATACAACTTATGTTATGAATATTTTCTCGAAAAAATTTAAAGACAATCAAATGTATACAACATTTCCAGAAAATAAAAATGAAAAAATGACAACTACCATTCAGAATCAGAAACAATTCCAAAGAAATAAAGCTGTGACAAGTTATTTACCACATCCAAATGTTTCTAGTACAACTATTAATAACACAAAAGGTCAACGTGTTAAAGAAGAGAGATCTCAAGTGAATAAGTACAAAAATGATAAAATTTTACTAATCAATGAAGATTTAACAACAATTACAGTATCAGAAACAATATCAAGTGTGAATAAAAATAAATTAAATATGACTAAGAATATAATGACATTAGGTATTGATAGTTTAAATCAAAAATTAAATACCACATTGACATTATTAAAAAAATCTGTAAATAGAAATGTCAATAATAATTTAATAAGCAAGGAAAATAACACACATTTATTAATTCCAGAAAATTTAATTAAATATCCAAACTCAAGTAATTTTGTTAATTTAAGTACTAAGGTAGTCGACAGTTTGATAACAGATAAGAAAATTCTTACTGAGAGTATATCAGAACCTTTATTACTTAATCATAGAAGTAATAGAGAAGTTAAAGCTACAACGATCCCTCACAAGAATGTCTCAATGAATGGCACAATATTGAAAAATAAACATCGAGTTCAAAAATATTTGGAGAATTTTAATATTCCAAAAGCACTCACAAAAAATGATTCGAAATTGAGTAAAAGTACTTCAAATAATGAAATTAAAAAGGAAAAAAGTGAAGTGATAAGAATAAATAATAATTTTAATAACAAAAGTGATTTAAATACTACACTCATGATTAACAATCCTTCTACATCAATGATAAATAATGAAATTAATACCAGAGAAGAAGAAACTATCTTCAAAAGTATACATTGTAATTCTTCTACCAATATGGATTATAGAGATAAATTAATTACAACAATAAGTAATATTCAGTCTCAATTAAATAATAAATTATCAGAACATGTAGCCGAAGATGAAAATAATACTAATATAATAGAATACACCTCTAAAAATTCTACAATTAATAACATTTTAGATACAACTACATCGATCGATGATCTATACGTCGATATTCCTAACTATGGTAAAAATTATATAAATAATCAAATACCTAAAGTAATATATCCTGTGTCCTCATATAATCAACATGATATCTTTGATAAACTAAGTACAGTGTCATCAAGTATATTTACAACAAAGTCAGTAGACAGCAGTAACTATGACAATGATTTAAAAAAATCATCATCACCATTAATTCTTTTTGAAAAATTGAATAAAGAAAAGTCAGAGAAATTAACATCAAATGAATCGAAGCCAGATATAAATGATTTGGGACATGTAAAGATAGCTTTGAACACAGTACAGAAAAATGACTATACTACAAATGATAAATATGTATTTAATGACAAATACGATGATGAATTAGATTTATATTCTAATTTTAAAGAAGAACTCAAGATACAAGTACCTGTGACAAATACTGGAGGCATTACAATGCCTATTTCAATACTAAATATTACTGACAACAATATATATAATATTAAAAAATATTTAACATCAGAAAGAAATACAGAAAAGTCACTTTTCTTGATGCGTACATATCCAATATTTAATTTATATCCGAAAACATCACAAAACAGCAGAATTAATCATTATATGAAGGAAAAATCAAATCACACAGACCTGTATGAGGATATTACACAGAAAGTCAATATAAATAGAAATATATTTGCAGGCCACCAAACGGACAGATCAAAATTTATTAGCACAAAACAACCGAATATCAATTCCGAAACATTATTAACGAAGTCCAACAGTAACAACAAAGCTATGTACGGTAGTACGATATCAAATCCTGGTCGACAGCCTACATTAATGCCTATAAATTTAAATGGATTAAAAATGTCTTCTAATATTTTAACTGCTGCAACAGTAAGATTTTCTAATGAAAATACAACTAAAAATTATAACGTTACTTATATACAAATTGATAACGTTAAATCTCCAATTGATAATAATAATACTGTATTTGCCCTCAATTATAGTAATGCTTTAAAACCTACAAGAAACAGTAACGGTGTGCAAACAACTGTTAATTTGAAGACACTACCTGCATTTAGTAATGAGCAGTCATATTTATCTAATAATTTACAAAATGATTTTACAAGAATACCAATACCAAAGACTAATATAACAAAAAATGTGAATGAGGTATATAAATTAGTAGAAGGCAATACTGTTAATAAAATCATGTTTACAACTAATTCATTATTCAACATTTCTGAACGGAATTTTAAAACAGAAAGTAATAACTTGAACCATACGTATGATACAGAAGTACCACATACAGCTAGTGTAGACTTCGCTGCTAATCTTAGTATGGATGATGTAAATCATATTAAGAATATTATGCGCAATGAATCTTCTGTCACTAACAAAGATATCAATACTAGTATCGTCATTACTACGTATATTCCCCCTTTCATAAATAAAATTTATACAGAGACTAACTTTAGAACCGGTATAGTAACTAATACAAATATACCTAGATGTAAAAATTGTACAGAAATGACAACCATAACTAATAAAATTATAAGGACAAAAATAAAAAAAAGGAAATCATCACTGTCATATTTGAGAAAAAATAATGAAGACACTGTTCTAAATATAGTCAATCAGAACAAGACGACGATACCTAACATACTAATTAAAAATAATGATGAAGGTAATTTAAAAACTAAAATTAAATATTTTACAACAGCAGTCATAAATTTAAATAAATCAGAACCTTCAATAAACAATGCCTTTGTAGAGACACAAGTACGTAGTCCATTAATAAAGGCAGAAATAAATTACAAACAATTTAATTCAACTGAATTGAAGATGATAACAACAGCCAAGCCATTAAAACAATACAATATAAGTCTGAATGTATCAAAGGACGTATCTATCAATACATATTCATATAAAATTATTCAAGATTCTACAAATGAAAACTATATTCATTTATCAACAGCTATGTTATCACTGAATTATACAACGGACCGGACTTATAGTACAGTTGCTAATGTGTCTTCAAATCGCACTGTGTTACATATTGATGTAACGAGCCAGACACCTGTCATTAATATTACCATGGAAAATAGTACCATTCCATTTATTAAAGAATTTTATACAGAAAATAATAAAGCAATGGTAACAAAACATAGAAAATTCGACATATTAAATAAAGATAACGAAATATTGCACAAAAAATCAAGAGAAGTGATAAATGAAGAATTATTTAAATCGTCTAAACCCAAATTGAATAGTATTTTTGTACCATATATTGCAACAACACAATATAAAAACTTCACAGAGTCGTCTTACAAAAATGTTACATTATTAAGTAAAGAAAATACAAGAAAGATAGCATCTTCTAAAGTTACACCAACTCTATTAAAATTGACGCCAAATTTTAAAACATCTTGGACTGATGAAAAATCTTTAGACGTTAATTTAATTTCTAAGAATAGTACAATTCATAGTACTACAAAACGACAATTATCTTTGTTAAATGATTCGACGAGTACTGAATTGTATACAAAAAATAGAATATCCACTTTTAAAGAACTTTTAAATAAGATGCAGACAACAGCTATGTTAGCAAAAACAACAACATCTAATTTAAATTATATTAATAAATCCATAGAAATACCACAAAGTAAAAACTTAGATATGAAGCAGTTTTCACAAAAATTTAAGCCAACAACAGAATTAGACAAGCTAAAAAAAGAAACAATTATCTATAATCATACTACCTTGTCTCCAAATACACAAATATTCACAGATTTTGTTTTGTTACAAATAGCAAAAACTAACGATACTAATTCCAATGTAAATAAAGAAAGAAATCGTGGAAATATCACTGCATCAGACACTTTAGAAATAGACACGAATCAAACTATTACTAACAAGCCTTTGCCTTTACAAAATGATCATATAAAAGTTATCAATAATGACATAAAAAAGTATACTAATATTGTAAAAGTAGCTATACTTAATATTCATAAGAATTTTACTAATATATTAAATGAAACTAACAGATATACTTTAATTGACGACAATATGCTAAATTCTAACATAAATTTACATAAATTGAAACAATTGAATAACGATTCCACTTATTTACCAAAAAATTATCAAAAGGATTTAAATAATAAACACATAATAAATAATATTAAAGCTGGAATGGAAAAGGACAATCTAACCAGTCCCCAGAATAAATTTAAAGAGGACATACTAAATAAAAATAATAATAATGACATATTGCCTGCGATAACTACCTTAACTTCAATCATAGAAGGGAAGACAATTAAAAATTTAATAACAGATATATACATAGAAAAAGTTGGCATTTTAAATAGTAATAATAGAACAATGATCGATATTAAAGCAAAAAATGACTATATAAAACAGACTAGTATAACTTACGACAATAACACTTATTATGCATCACAAATATATATACCTGTGACAGTTCGTGTTTTAGCTAAGTCTTATAATAATAATTCTAAAATTTATAGAATTGAGAATTTCAAAACTCCAATTAGTGAAGACAGCAAGAAGAAAACAAATATCGATCAGAGTAATAAGCAAGTCAGAAATTATAACGGTCATAAAAATCGGTATGTTATACAGAATAACACAAATTCATATAACGAAGTTAATAATGGTAATAAGTCTCTAAATGGAATCCAAAATATTAGTAACATGAATATGAAAAAATCTACAATTAAGCATGTTGAGACAAAACATATAGATATAACTGGGATGTTACGACACAAAATGATAAAATATAATACTTTTAAACCTACTACTAAAGACGACCTGTACACAGATATATTGTCATTTAATGAAAAAGGTACAGATAATAAATCAACATCTAATATATTTAATACAATTGATCAATTTCCAGTCGTTAAGAATTCTACAACATGTGAATTGATAGGGAATCTAAGCCATCAAATATTTCGAAGTATAGAAGGATTTGTACAATTAATTAATATTACAAATTGTACTGTAAATAGAATAACTATATCAAGTCATTATAAGTCGGTAGATACCACAATAGCCACAAAAATTGTAAAACAAAAAGATAGTTCATCAACTGTAAGTATAAAAACTACTAATGGTGATAAAATAAATAACATATTATTAGATCCATTAGCTAAAACTAAACTATACCCAGTTAAAATGATGCCATCAAAAACTCAAAGAAAAGTACTGAGAAGGATCCACATGGGGAATAAAAAGAAGAACTCAAATGAATTTTTCTCGCCAAAACATTTTATGTCTCGGATAAATAACGCATTGAACACTACAAAAGTATATAATCAAAAAATATTGCTGCCACATAGATCAATTACAACGATGCCGAAGAAAGTAATTTTGCGACCCAAATTTGAAAATCTGAAAGCAAGAAGTGCCCCTAAAACATATTTTCTACCAAAGCCGTTGATAAAAGAAAATAATGAAGATTTTTATAGGGAAGATTTTCTAATTCACCATAAGCCTAGTATGACATGGAGGGAGAAAGTGAACTTTATCCAAGGAGCCGTACAAAAGTATGGTGTTCCATCAACAAATTCTTTGGAGACAGTTTTGGATAAGCCTACACATATGCCTTCAATGAGCAAACCTAAGTTTTTGAGAGATCGAATCGATTCGATCAGGAATTACGTTTTCAGTGCTGATTTTGTTAAATCTACATCGCGATCGATATCCAAAGATTACTTTTTGAGACCTCCATTATTAGATATTTCGGAAGATTCGAGGTATGTTGAGGCGCCTTCGATTGAGGGAAATAACAACTGGGAGCCATCAACCACGACCGCTTGCCCTGTGGCTACAAGGAAACGCCGAAGATCAAGACGAACGATATTCTTTCTAAGTCCTACTGTCCCGTATAATCATTACTTTTAAGTTTGTAGATTAATTTAAATTATTATAAAGTTAAATAAATCAATAGTTTTATTTTTTTCGTCGTGGAGATCTTTGGGGGAGGCCTATGTACAGCAGCGGATGCCTTCCGGGCTGAGATGACGATGATGATGAAATCACCCTAAACAATTAACACAGCGCCATCTAGTCGCAATGAGCAGAGCTTGTGTTATGGGTAATAGACAACTGATACAAATACTTAGATTTGTTTGTAAATCCATAATGTATATTGGAAACACCCAGATCGATATAAACAATCATTATGAATACAAATGCTTGCACCATGCGAGGAAGTGAACCCGCGACCATCAGAGGTAAAGCGGTGTGCTAAATAAACCAAATAAATATCTAAATCAATACCAACTAAGCCGAATTTCTGCTATCCATACTTACTAGTATCTGTCTGTCTATTTGATACTTTTCATGACTGATTGGCTAAAATGATCTTAATAAAATGTTACGCAAAGAGTGGATATATCATAAGAACAAACAAAGGATAGAACATATCGAAGTTCGAACCCCTAGCAGTGCCCTCAAATGTCACAACTCACAATTGACATCTAAAATTTCGTTTAGTAATTATAAATCGTTAAGTACCCATAATGAGTATTTTGTTTTACGCATCACAGTAAAGGTTGAAAATAAAGTATTTTTGCATACTTTATTTGTATGTAAAAGTATAAAGAATAATTACCAAAACTAAAGTATGGTTGGCAAGGTGCCATGCAATTACAGTTGAAATGTGTTTTTTTCCGTTCTCAAAGGTGCGGGACTGGTGGCTGGATGATATGTACCTCAAGGTGCGGCTGCCACTGCCCATCAACTCCAATCCCGGCATGGTATTCCCTCGCCGTCATTTCGCCAAGATGGAGGAGGTAGCCGACTTGGGAGCACTGTTTATCGACGATCTGCTGGATTATAAGGAGATGCTAGACAGGTAGGAAATTAAAAAGTAATCTGACCATAGTACGTGTACTAGATGTAGCCCGTTATACTGATAGTCACAGCATAGAGGGTCCGCCTAATCCTTGAATCCGCGAAAGAAGTTGTAATTAAAAAATCATTTATTCAAATAAACTCATTACAAGCACTTTTGAATGGTCATATTTTGATTCTACCACTCATTCGGAATGCAGATTCATCACAAGAAGAATGAGCAAGATAAGTTTTTAGTGTTGCTCGTTTAAATAGATGTTTCTTTATATAAATAATTACAGTATAACAAGTAAGAGGCATACGATAATCAATATAGAAACCGCTACGCACTTATTCTTAGTGCAATCAGATAATATTGTCAGCGCTATGGATTTTAAGTTTTTCTATAAAAACATTATTATCTTTAACGAACTCTTCAATTTTATAGTCAGCTTTTTTGCAAAGATATAGAATAGAAAATTAAATAAACTTACATTGAACTACTTTTGAACAGTCATCACATTTTTTTAATCCACCGCTCATTCGGAAAGCTATCTCATCACAAGAAGAACGAGCAAGAAACTTGCGTGTTGCTCTTTTAAATAATTTAGTTGTAACTTTACATTTTTAAGTTGAAGTGTGTGAATACAAACTACCAATTAGTATTACACGATTAAAGAGTTTGTTTAAGAGATTGTTTTAATAATAATAACCCTGGACAATTCACAAATAGCGCCATCTAGTCCCAAGCTAAGCAGAGCTTGTGTTGTGTGTACTAGACTTAATATTAAAGAGTTTGTTTAAGAGAATGTTTTAATAATAATAACCCTGGACAATTCACAAATAGCGCCATCTAGTCCCAAGCTAAGCAGAGCTTGTGTTGTGTGTACTAGACTTAATATTAAAGAGTTTGTTTAAGAGAATGTTTTAATAATAATAACCCTGGACAATTCACAAATAGCGCCATCTAGTCCCAAGCTAAGCAGAGCTTGTGTTGTGTGTACTAGACTTAATATTAAAGAGTTTGTTTAAGAGAATGTTTTAATAATAATAACCCTGGACAATTCACAAATAGCGCCATCTAGTCCCAAGCTAAGCAGAGCTTGTGTTGTGTGTACTAGACTTAATATTAAAGAGTTTGTTTAAGAGATTGTTTTAATAATAATAACCCTGGACGATTCACAAATAGCGCCATCTAGTCCCAAGCTAAGCAGAGCTTGTGTTGTGTGTACTAGACTTAATATTAAAGAGTTAGTTTAAGAGATTGTTTTAATAATAATAACCCTGGACGATTCACAAATAGCGCCATCTAGTCCCAAGCTAAGCAGAGCTTGTGTTGTGTGTACTAGACTTACTATTAAAGAGTTTGTTTAAGAGATAGTTTTAATAATTATAATCCTGGACTATTCACAAATAGCGCCATCTAGTCCCTAAGCAGAGCTTGTGTTGTGTGTACTAGACTTAATATTAAAGAGTTTGTTTAAGAGAATGTTTTAATAATAATAACCCTGGACAATTTATAAATAGCGCCATCTAGTCCCAAGCTAAGCAGAGCTTGTGTTGTGTGTACTAGACTTAATATCAAAGACTTTGTTTAAGAGAATGTTTTAATAATAATAACACAATTCACAAATAGCATCTAGTCTAATGCTTGTGTTGTGTGTACTAGACTTAATATAAAAGAGTTTGTTTAAGAGAATGTTTTAATAATAATAACCCTGGACAATTTACAAATGTTGATAAACTAGACTTAATATTAAAGAGTTTGTTTAAGAGAATGTTTTAATAATAATAACCCTGGACAATTCACAAATTAGCCTGCGCTAAGCAGAGCTTGTACTAGACTTAATATTAAAGAGTTTGTTTAAGAGAATGTTTTAATAATAATAACCCTGGACAATTCAGCGCCATCTAGTCCCAAGAAGCAGATTGTGTTGTATGTACTAGATTAATATTAAAGAGTTTGTTTAAGAGAATGAATAATAATAACCCTGTTCACAAATAGCGCCATCTAGTTAAGCAGAGCCTATTACTATTAAAGTTTGTTTAAGAGATAGTTTTAATAATTATAATCACTATTCACAAATAGCGCCATCTAGTCCCAAGCTAAGCAGAGCTTGTGTTGTGTGTACTAGACTTATATTAAAGAGTTTGTTTAAGAGAATGTTTTAATAATAATAACCCTGGAAATTTAAAATAGCATTTTATTGTGTTGTGTGTACAGACTTAATATCAAAGACTTTGTTTAAGAGAATGTTTTAATAAAATAACCCTGGAAATTCACAAATAGCGCCATCTAGTCCCAAGCTAAGCAGAGCTTGTGTTGTGTGTACTAGACTTAATATTAAAGAAAGAGAATGTTTTAATAATAATAAATACAATTTACAAATGGCGCCATCTAGTCCCAAGCTAAGCAGAGCTTGTGTTGTGTGTAAATATTAAAGAGTTTGTTTAAGAGATTGTTTTAATAATAATAAACCTGGACAATTCACAAATAGCGCCATCTAGTCCCAAGCTAAGCAGAGCTTGTGTTACGTGTACTAGACAAGTTATCCCAAGTTGTTTTGGTAATCTCTGATATAGTTGCACTTTTTGCCGTTGCCTTTCACTCGCATACAGCTAATGTTTTTTTTATGGTTGATAAAGGAATGGTGCATCCTCCTGCGCTAACGGTTTACGCTAGTGGGGCACCAGTGGAGGATGATAAGATGAGCATGAAGTTAGGCCAGTTAGCCCATCGTGACAAATTCACCAAGAATTTATTTAAGAAGTTCCCCCTGGAAACCATCGTGGGTTTACCGCATTTAGGTCAACCTGACATGGTACATTGCTAGCAATAGGATCATCAGTTCACATTACTTACTATCCCCTATAGCTAATGTCATAAGAAGTAACTTAGGCTACGATTGTTTTAGAAATTTAATTTATTTTAATTTCATGCGGATGATGTCGCGGATAATAGCGAGTCTTACTAATCTTATTTTAATATTATAAACGCGGAAGTTAATGAGAGTGGATAGATGAATGGTTGTTTGTTAGTCTTTTACTCAAAAACTACTAAATGGATTACAAATATACAAAATTACATAAAGGCTATAAATATCATGCGAGTGAAACCGTGAGCTTATCTAGTTACAGAAAGATAGTGGAAGTACTCTATATCAGCTTACAGATACTATAAAATTTGAATTTAAAAATGAATCTGTATTATTATAAACATGTACAATATTTATTTGAAAAGAATACGAGCTGAGTTTCTTCTCAGTTCTTCTCATCTCGAAATCATTCCGAGCTGACGGTAGATTTGATATATCATAAGAGTCTGTAATAGAACTACATGAATAAAGATATTCTGAATTTGAATGTAGTAATTTTTATAGCAATATTGCGATTTTCCAGGGGAGAACTACCCTTGGAGCGTGCCACCAGCCGCGAAAAAGGCCAGCCACTCTGCATGGAGCAGTTCTACCGGCTGCTGGGGATCTGTCGTATTCCAGAAGTGGGTAGGGATCGACTCGAGCTGCCACCGAAGGGAACCGATACCGAGACCGAGGAGTTGGTGGTTGTGATCTGCAGGAACCATGTGAGTTTGTCTTCATTGCTGATATAAAATAATTGGTAGATTTGCTAGCCTAGTGGTGCATTGCCATGTGTAAATAATCATTATTTATACATGACATTAGCTAAGTTAAGCTAGCTAAAGCCTGTGTTATGGGTACTAGATAACTGATATAAATACATAAATTTTTCTTTTTCGTAAATACATACATATTATAAATAGAAAATACCCAGACCTACACACACAATCATACTCATGAATACAAATGTATGTCGTGCGAGGAATCGAACCCCCAATCATCGGAAGTAAATCAGTTTGCTAAACAGCTAGACCACCGAGATGTGCTCAGACAAAACCATTATTAAACCCACAATAATTGCATCTGTGTAAACCCGGGGTGGGAAGTTAGTCACTACATAGTATAAAACAAAGTCGCTGTCGCTGTCCGTCCCTATGTATGCTTAAATCTTTAAAACTACGCAACGGATTTTGAAGCGGTATTTTTAATAGATGGGGTGATTCAAGAGGAAGGTTTATATGTATAATACATGTACACCCGTACGAAGCCGGGGCGAGTAGCTAGTGCAGAATAAAACATTGTAACGTCTCAATGCATTCGATTTTCCCTCCGACGTACCCTAACCCCTCTGTAACTTTATTACTTACTTCAATCTCAAGGTAACTTACTTAGCACTTAGAAACCGCTGCGGAGCACTTTATCACTTAACTTGACACCGCTAAGTTTGTAAACTCCACGTTTGGAATACAGTAAACTCCATTTTACTGGTTAGTCACTCAAGTAATTGGACATTCTATGTTCTAAGATAGATAGATAGAATCCCTGCTGGCTGTTAGGGAGCTCCGTAGCCGTAACCGAATCTGAAATAAAAGTTTCGGATAATATCGGATAGGAGCGGAGCCTAATTGAGACACGTTATGTAACCATTTTATTTTCATCCAATTAAATTTGTGTGGGTCAAAAGTCACGTAGGTATTGCGGGCAACGAGGCAGCGGATGTTGCTGCCGGGGAGGCGAGTCGACTGCATAAAGCACCTGAGTATGCCAAATTCCCTTTGACCTACGCTAAGACTTTATATAAAAAGGACTCTCGCATTTCGTGGCAAAACAGATATATATCCGCTGAACAGGGAGCTCATACTCGCAAGCTCCTTCCTCGCCTTGAAGACATTCGAGACTTCTTTGAGATTGAGCAGTCTTTCCATCTTACACAAGTATTAACATGACACGGATACAATAAGACATACCTTAAGCGTATCCACATCGTAGACAATGCGAATTGCCCCTGTGACGGATTCAGTGACCAAACATTTGAGCATCTGTTTAGCCAATGTCCCATTTTCAGCAAAGCTCGACACGATCACGAACAAACGTGCCGAATATTTGGTATCAGCGCTCCCTATGATCTCATCGCTCTCATAAAAAAGTCAGAAGCTCTGAATTCGTATAATTTATTCGCTAAACATATTGTAAATAACCTCAAAAAGATCAACAAAACATAATAATTTGCAAAATCACAACATTACTATATTTGAATTAAAAAGAAATATATATTTATTCATTTACATATGTATATAACTATAGTATAAAACATCCCCTCCAGAGGAACACATTATACAATTAAAACTATGGTCGTATCAAATCGCGGCTGAAGTACTACATAATATATTTATAATAAAAAAAAATGTGATAATAAAAACTGTAGAGAAACAAATAAAATTAATAAAAAAAAATCACTTTATTTAAATGTAACCATTTTTTTCAATAGTATATGCTGGTAGTCACTCTATTCTCCCAAATTTGAATTTAAATGAATCTATATTATTGGAAATATGTACAAAATTTAAAAAAAAAATACGAGCTGAGTATCTTGTCAGTTCTTCTCATCTCGAAATCATTCGGAACTGACGGTGGATTTGACATATCATAAGTCTGTAATAGACCTACATGAATAAAGATATTTTGAATTTGAATTTATTAATTATTTGTATTTTACTTTGAAATTCGTTAAAAAAATATATCCGTAACCGAAATTATCCGAAACTAACGGATAATCCGAAATAATTTCATATCCGCATCCGTATTCGTATCTGGTATAATAATCATTCCTATATCCGAAACGTATCCATATCCGAAACTTCATATCCATAACATCCCTGATAGATACATAGATAGATAGAATATATTTTATTTGCAACATACAGTAAAGAAGAAGCACAAACAATATTACAAGCACACATGTAAAATATTAATGAAACTTTCATAATAGGCTAAAATGTCCTTCATTCATTCATAATTTAACAGCTGCTCTTGTCGGTGGAGCTCCCGCCACCTTACACGATCTTCTATCAGTCCTAACCTTAAAAATGTAAAGTAAAAATAAAATTATTTAAAAGAGCAACACGCAAGTTTCTTGCTCGTTCTTCTTATGATGAGACTGCTTTCAGAACGAGCGGTAGACTAAAAAAATGTAATGACTATTCAAAAGTGCTTCAATGTAAGTTTATTTGAATAAATTATATTCTATTCTATTCCTTTTAGCTGTTGATAAGACACGACTCCAACTTTTTCTTTAACTTGCTTGATATAGCTGTGTCTTGGACATCTCCTTCCTATCTATTTTTCCTTCAATAATGTTATTAATTAGTTCGTCGTGTCGTATCAAGTGCCCCAACATTTTTTCCCTCCTATTCTGAATAATATAGAATAGAAATAGAAATAATCTTTATTCAAATAAACTCATTACAAGCACTTTTGAATAGTCATATTTTGATTCTACCACTCATTCGGAATGCAGATTCATCACAAGAAGAATGAGCAAGAAACTTGTGTGTTGCTCTTTTGAATAGATGCTTTTTTTTGGTATGTTTAGTTATTTATTATGTATTTAATATCTATGATCTGTCTCTTTTCTTTAACCTTTCAAGCACTTCTTCATTCTTTATTTTATCTTTCCAGATAATTCTTTCCATTCTTCTCCAACACCACATTTCAAAGGCTTCTAGTTTGTCTCTTTCCTTTTGTGTCAATGTTCACGTCTCACAGGCATACAAGGCTATACTCCAGATGTAGGTCTTGATAAGTCGTTTCCGAGAGGACTTTGATGTATTAGCTCTCAAAAGATGTTTTTTTATCATTGAACGCTTTATTTGCAATAGCTATTCTAATATTATTGTCCTTAGTACATCTGGAGTCGCTGGTAATCAAACTACCTAAATATTTAAATGTGTCTACATTTTCAAAGTGTATTTTATTTATTCTTGTTGTATTTCTGTTATGAGGTTTATGTTTTATTACTGTCATTATTTTAGTTTTCTTGGAATTAATATTTATGTTTCAAAAAATGTATTCTATAAATGTCCTACATGAATAAATTATTTTAGATTATAATTATATGTATTTTTATTATCTGTCAGTTCTACCCGATCCCGGTGAAAGCTGCAGACCGAGGCAGATTGACTCCAGGGGAGATCCAGGCTCAGCTTCTACACGCGATGGTGGACGCGGCCGGCGCCCCGCCCGCGCCCCGAGTCGGGCTTCTCACTTCCATGAACAGGGACCAGTGGGCGAAGGCTAGAGAACAACTTATTAAAGGTACAATTTCATTCCAAGATGGTAACTTTATAGAAAGTCTTCTATCTATGGTATATCTAGTTCTGGTGACGGGAGTTTGCTTTGTAAACTGTAAATGGTATGACATAATTGTAACTTTATTTATTAATTGAAGTATCACAAAAATATAGTATATATAAATAAGTAAATACACAATAGAAAATAGACGAGGAAAAATGTTAGGACACTTGATACGGCACGATGATTTCATGAAAATTATTATTGAGGGGAAAATAGAAGGAAAGAGGGGGAGGGGAAGACCAAGGAATAGCTACATCAAACGAATTGAGGACAAAATGGGAGTCGTGTCGTATCAAGAATTAAAGAGCATGATGGAAGATCGCGGAAAGTGGCAAGAGCTCCACCGACAAGAGCGTAGCTCTTAAATTATGAATGAATGAAATAAATAAATATAATAAACTAGATACGCCCGCGACTTCGTCCGCGTAAAATCACTATATTTCCATATAACCTTTCATATCCTCTTTCAAGATCTTGCAACCCTTTTTTCGCATTAAAAAGTAGCCTATGTCCTTTGTCAGGGTCTAGAGTATCTGTTTACCAAATTTCATTTAAATCGGTTCAGTGGTTTTGCTGTGAAATTGACACAAGGAGACAGACAGACAGAGTTACTTTCGCATTTATAGTATTCAATTAAGTAAGGATATAGTAAAGATGTTACAATTTTTTTATTATTTATGATATGGTAATATAGGCACAGAGCCTCACAATATTATACTTTTGTATACAAAACTTAAAATTATTCCTATTATTATACTATCTTTCTAAGAGGAACAATAAAGAGTTTTCATTCATTCATTCATCCATCCAAGTCATTTCATACTAGGTTTACCGACAACTGTTTTGCTATATAAATTAATATCGCTATTAAAAAAGAGGGGTTAATAGAAGAAGGGTGAAAATTTAGAACTGTATGTACTTAATGTCAAATCATAAAACAAATATATCAATTTCTTTAATTATGTTAGAATAATAACATTTTTGATAAATAAATTGAGGTGGGCTATCCTTATCACATAGTGGTATAAAGGACTTTTTTTTTATTTACAGTTATTACTATAAATAAAAAAAAGTCTTTATACCACAATCCTTCATCCAGTTCTTTATAACAGTTGGCCGAAGCGGCAGATATTTCTGCCACTTCCTTTGTGGCCAACTGTTTTGCCTATTTTTTTTTATAATTATCCTGTATGTACATGTATTTTTTTTAATTTTTACTAGCTACTCGTCCAACTTCGCCCGAGTGTACATGTATTATATATAACCTTCTTCTAGAATCACTCTATCTATTTAAAAAACCGCTTCAAAATCCTAGTTTTAAAGATTTAAGCATACATGGGGACGGACAGACAGCGACAGCGACTTTGTTTTGTACTATTTTTTTTTATTTAATTAAAATTAATTTGTAATAATAATAATGATATATTTATTCTATTTTATACATTGTCACTAATTTATAGGACGTCATCACTATGTAATGATGATTAAGGTTAATTACCTTAAATTACTTATTGTATGTACCTCTAATACCCTAATCTATACATATAAATAAAATTGGAGTGTCTGTTTGTAATATTGAAATAACAGTTTCTTACTACATGCATATTAATATAAATACAGTACACATACGGTTTTTTTTACAATTTTTGTCTATCTGTATGTCTGTCTGTATTAGCTGGAAAAAACACTTTTATTGGCAGGTAGTTGATGTAATAAGAAGTAACTTAGGCTACATGCATATGAATATAAATACGGTACACACACCAAAATAACATTTTTCACAATTTTTATCTATCTGTTTGTTCCGGCTAATCTCTGAAATGGCTGGACCGATTTTAACGGGACTTTTTTTGGCAGGTAACTAATGAAATAAGGAGTAACTTAGGCTACTTTTATTTTAGAAAAATAAAGTTAAATTCCACGCGGAAATTCTCGGGTACAGCTGTTACTTTGTTATCAGATGACAACAACCGCACAAATCTGGAGCTGATCTCACGGTCCCTGTGCATCCTCTGCCTGGACGAGGCGGGCGGAGATCGAGCGGACACGGACGCTGATACTAACGCCATGCTGCGTGCCATGCATGGAGCTGGTACCTCCCACCATTCTGCCAACCGGTGGTTCGATAAAACTGTGCAGGTACGCTATTACAATGTGTAAGATTATAGCCTTGTATCATACGTACGTTAAGTGTCATTCTACAATAGACACTGTCAGTCTCCAGTCAATCACGATGTCAGTATATCTGTCGTGAATAAAATCCGTTATTGGGAGTGGTGGCTGTATGGGCTGAGTCCTTTTGCCTTTCCATGAAAAGGGAAAAACTGAAACAAAAAAAAAATTGGGAGTGGTTGGTTTTGCGTGACTTGACCACGAGCTGTTGAAGGGAAGTGACGTTTGTTATATTTTAATTATTAAATCCTAAATTATCTAAGTAATCGTTTAGAGATAAGGGAATTTACTCTCAAACGGTAAAGTTCGGCCTGTGGGTACTATGATTATTATAATATGGGAGGTACTTAATTAAAATGGTATCTATACATATAAATAAAATTGGAGTGTATGTTTGTAATATTGAAATAACAGTTTCTTACTACATGCACATGAATATAAATATGGTACACATACACCAAAATATATTTTTTTTACAATTTTTGTCTATCTGTCTGTCTGTTTGTATTTGTCAGAACAAACACTTTTATTGGCAGGTAGCTGATGTAATAAGAAGTAACTTAGGCAACATTTATTTTAAATTAAATTCCACGCGGACGAAGTCGCGGGTACAGCTAGTTGGAAATATAGCAGTCATAGCTCAGGACATATGTTTGATTGACGTCTCCTTTATACGAACATACATAACACGGTCGCTTAGACTTTCCGTTTCTGACAGGTCGAGATCGAATGGGCGATGTAACTTTCTTTTTGATCACTACAGAAACAAACATGGCCTTGAAACAGCGCAGTTTGATGTGGTTTGACTTTTAAAAACTATTATTTTTATATTTAAACTAACTTTTGCCCGCGGCTTCGCTCGCGTTAATTTAGGGGTGGAATTTATCAAAATCCTTTCTTAGAGAATGCCTATGTCATAGTAGCTTTATGCATGCAAAGTCTTAGCCCGATCGGTTTAAAATTGACAAAGTTGCATACAAACTTTCATCCTCTATTTTATCCCCTTGGGGGTAGAATTAATCAAAATCCTTTCTTAGCGGATGCCTACGTCATAACATCTACTTGCATGCCAAATTTCAGTCCAGTGGTTTGGGCTGTGCGTTGATAGATCACTATGTCAGTCACCTTTGAGTTATATATATTTAGACTAGAGGGTGCATGTGTGCGCGGGCCTCAAGAGGCCCGCGAGGCGTTGTCGTAGATTTTTTTTGTGAAGACGGTTTTCTTTTCGTTGTTAGAGTTGTCTGTTTTGATACGATTAGGTGACTTCCTATTGTAACAGTGAATTTCTGTTTCACGTGTACCATATATACCTGTGGCGAAACTTTGTATTGTAATGGTCACAATACAAAACCTAACCTAACCTACCTTTCTGTATACTATATTATTCTGAGGCCATAATTTCTACTGTAAAGAATCGCAATACCAAACCTAACCTAACCTACCTTTCTGTATACTATATCAATTTCGGTTCACAGTTTCTGATGTAGAGATCATAATACGAAACCTAACCTAACCCACGTTTCTGTGTACCTTATTGATCTGTGGCCAATTTCCATATTCTCCTGTCTATAGACCTAACCTTATCTTACTTTTCAGTATACTAATAGTCTGAGGCAATAATTACTATTGAGTAGCAATCTAACCTAACCTACCTCTCTGTATATATTTTTGACCATAATTTCTATTGTAAAGGAAATAAAGAAAAACAAAACCGTCTAGGTTGCGTGTGGGTCGTTTTAGCTGATTTTTTTATGGTGAAGGTTTTCTTTTCGATCTTGGTTGGCAGAAACATGTTTTGATACGAAACTATACCACAAATGTCAATTCCTATTGTAAGAGTGAAAAAAACGAAACCTAACTCACTGTTTGTATACCGTATTGACTTATGGCGCCACTTTGTATTGTAATGGTCCCAATACAAAACCTAACCTACATTTCTTTACAATATATTAGTCTGTGATCATAGTTTATAATGTAGAGAACAGAATACGAAATCTAACCTAATTCACTTCTGCATACCGTATTGATCTGTGGCTATAATTTCTATTATAATTGGCCATTATATTACTACCTAACCGAATACGAAATACAAAATCATATCGAACCCTACTTTCTATATACTAATTAGTATGGGGTCGCTATTTCTAATGTAGAGGTCATAAAACTGAACCTAACCTAACCAACTTTTATACCTTATAGAATAGATCTGTGACCAAAATTTCTAGTGTAAAGAACATATAAATCATAACTGTATTTTTTACACGAACGATTATCATTTAGAATAGTCACCAAAGCAAGAATGAATTCCAAGATAGTCTCTTTAGCTGGTAATAAACCGTGGATATCATACAATGAAAGAAATGTATGGACAAATCTTATTGTCATTATTTACAATCTGAAAATTTTACACATTTTGCAATCTTCCAATTACAAAATCCAAAGACACAAATTATTCAGAACAGCATTCATGAAAATAATTTCGACATCGAAAATGTTCAATATTTGTGTGAGTTTTTATATCACAATCCAAAACTAATTTGATTTTTGTGGTCACCTATACTATGGTATAGGCGAAAAATTGACGTCTTCGGCCGCAGTATTTAATTTTTATTTTTTTTTATTTTGGCTTAGCTACCAGGGTGGCAAAAAAAACGTCCATACATTGTCAACTCCTTCTAATATTTCAACAACTTACATCGGTTTTCATAATAAAGATTTCCAAATAATTTTGATAAAAGCCTTAGGGTTATTATTTATCGTAGGTAAAGGGCCTACGATAAATAATAACCACCCATCACTCTTTTAATTACAATATCATAAATATTAAAATCGGGGAAAGTTTTTAGCGCTGGCAATACTGAGATTCAATGCCATCCCATAAAAGCTGACTCGCTGCATAGTTACCATGTACCAAAATAAAAAAATCTTCCAAATTTTGTTCAAAGTCAACCTCGGCGGCCATCTTGGATTTTTCCATTTTGATACTTCTGACATATATATTACATGACGACAGATATATTTCGTCCATATGTTGTACAGAGACACGGTCCTTTTAGTGGGTCCTTAGTAAATATTACTTTCTACGAAAATCTATGCATGGTGTTGCCACCTAATTTTACAAAAATTTGCATAAAACTATTAAGATGAGATTTATTATAGATACCCGTCACTTTTATTTTTAAATTTCGAAAAAAAAATTCCCACAATTAAGGTTTGCAAAATTACCCAAAAATCGGGGAAAATAATATACTTCACGTCTTTGCTCCATAGAAGTAACTTGCTGTAAGGAATAAAATAGTACCCCAAAAATGAGTTTTAAAACGTCCCTAAACTTGTCATCGGGAATAAAGTACCCTAACTCGGCCGCCATCTTGAATTATTCCATTTTAAATAGTTTTAACATATACACCTTGGTGAGAAACATTTCGTCCATACATTGTACAGAGCCAAGGTAACTCCTTCTAGTAGTTCCTAAGTACTGTTTACAATGGAAATCTATGTATGGTATTGCCAGCTCATTTTAACAAAAACCACCTAAGACCCCTTGGGGATTATTTTTGACAGATCGTCATCATTGTTTGATCTAAAACGATGAAACAAAAAATCCCACGTTTTTTTACTTCTCTCCGATATTACCCTAAAATCGGGGAAAATTTTTAGACCAGATAGTGCTTCGTACCGAGAGTTTCCACTGTTCCATAAAAGTCAACTCGCTGCAGTGACGATGGGTACCTGAAAACTGAATTTAAAAAAGTACCCTAACTCGGCCGTCAGCTTGGATTTTTACTTCTTAATACTTTTGACGTATTCACCGTAGTAACAGAAACATTTCGTCCATACATTATGTAGAGCCTCGATGACTTCTTGTACTATTCCCTAAGAAAACTAATCTAAGGTGTTGCCAAATAATTCTGATAAAAACCACGAAAAACCCATAAGGGGATGATTTTTGACAGATATCCATCATTATTTTGTTTGAAATATCGAAAAAAAATTCCCACTTTTTTAGACTTGTCTTCTAAATTACCCCAAAATCGGGGAAAATTTTCATACCATTTTTCCTTTTTCATCCATATATTGTACAGAAACACGGTCCTTCTAATGGGTCCTAAGTAAATATTACTTTTTACGAAAATCGATGTATGGTGTTGCCACCTAATGTTACAAAAAATCGCATAAAACTATTAAGATGAGATTTATTATAGATCCCAATCACTCTTATATTTAGTATGTAAAAAAAAATCCCACATTTTGGTTTTGCAAAATTACCCAAAAATCGGGGAAAATTTGTAGCCTAGGTAATATTTCAAACCGAAATCTATCATGGCTCTATAAAAGTCGACACGCTGCAAGGAAGCCAGGTACCCCAAAATGTATTCCTAAATTTATCATCAGAGATAAAATAGTCGAACTCGGCCGCCATCTTGGATTTTTCCTTTTTGAATACTTTTAACTTATCCACTTTGGCGACTGAAACATTTTGTCCATACATTGTACAGAGCTAAGGTGACTCCTTCTAGTAGTTCCTTAGTACTGTTTACTATGAAAATTAGTTAATACTTCGCACCGAGAGTTTCCATTCCTCAATACAAGTCAATTCGTTGCAGGGATGATAGGTGCCACAAAACTGAATTTTAAAAAGTTCTTAAAATTGTCATCATAGATACAGTATCCTAATTCGGCCGCCATCTTGGATTTTTCCTATTTAAATACTTTTAACATATACACAGAGCCCGGGTTACATACACCTAGGAGTTCCTTAGTACGGTTTAGTATGAAAATCGATGTATGGTGTTGCCAGGAGATTTTGACAAAAACCACCTAGGACCCTTTGGGGGATGATTTTGGACCAACGCTCATAACTGTTTTGTTCAACTTAACGAAAAAAAAATTTCCCACGTTTTTTTACTTTTCTCCGAAATTACCCCAAAATCGGGGAAAATTTTTAGACCAGGTAAAATTTT